ATTTTAATGCTTTCTAATAACAATTTTGAAAACTTAAAAAAATGATTGTACTCATCTAAATGTGGGGCTTGATTATTTGGCCAAGTTGTCAATTTTCCCTGTCACTGTTCCTATTTGACAAATATACTATGTTGATTGTGACCTTCCTTGCGAGATCTCTGGAATCAGGAGATTACTAATTTTTCTATCAATCTGAATGGGAGGTGGGGCAGGGGAGTGAAAATCAAGGAAACTCCTGACTTAATGGGGAAAGTTGGAATGTTGCAGAACTTTCAATTTTCTTGGTAATTTTTCATAAAGATACAATTTTTAGTGGAATGGTATGTATGCTCGAACAGGATCAATGTACAAGAAGTTAAGTCAAGGTCATAATCTGGTTTTTTCGTTTGACTTTGCAGGTAAAATGTACCTGTATTTATCAGATATAACTAAGATTGTGTGGTTGTACATGAAATTACAAATAGTAAGCTTGTGAGCTGTTAAGGTAGGTGATCCTGTTACGTAAACATTCCTGATTAATGTCAAAAGGCATACAACTGCCACAGGTTTTACTGAAGTTTCAGATTGGAACCTTTATCCTGCATCTGAACTGTAGCATTTTGTTTACCACATGTGCCTTTAGGGCCCTAGTGTACTCAATGTAATCAATATGGATAATGTTAGGCTTTGATGTGTGATGAGAAAGTCAATTGATATGGGTTCCCATAGACTGTGATTTATGATATACTGCAGTTATGTTACAAAGCTTTGTATTTGTATTGTCTGAGGGCTCGTCTTTTGTGCATCATTTCTGGTGGGAGAATCTCTCTTTAGGGCTTGTCTCTTGTGCATCATTACTGCTGGGAGAATCTCTCCTTAGGGCTTGTCTCTTGTGCATCATTACTGCTGGGAGAATCTCTCTCTTCAGGGCACAATTCTTGTACATTATTAGTACTGGGAGAAGCTCTCTTCTGTCAAATTTGTCAAAGTTACTGGTATCTATCAAAAAATCTGATGATAGAGGGACACCAAAACTTAAACTTGAAATTGAATTATTTATATCAACAAATACACATAGTTTAGATTAACTCGAAAAACCATCAAACAAGAACTTTTCACTCTATCTGGCTTTGAATTTTCTTAGACAGTCAGCTTGTACATTGGTAATGCACTCGCCTTTCGCTTAGCCATTTAAGGTTCAATTCCCGGCATGGGAGTGAAAAGCTATGGGGTCACCGTCACCTTTTAGACCATGTGGGTTTTCACAGAGGTACACCGGTTTCCTTCCTCAGTAAGACCCTGGCCCCCTCCCATTTTGGTGTCGTAGAGCTACATATATCTCTAAACATTTATTAAAAACATTCCCATTCCACAGACAGCTGTCATAACCATTTGATCTTGTGACCTTTCACATCAGGTACCAAAAAAAACTTGATATCCTAAATGTGAAAGATTCATGCTTTGAAAAACTTAAACTTAAGAATATGTGTTTTGGTGTGGCTATATACATTTGCACTGACAGTTTTAGTGCAAAAAAATTTAAATTAATTTAAATATCTGTTCATATCTGTATACATAAAGAATAACAAAGTACATGTATATGCATAATTTTATAATATCAAATGTAAAAAGTTTCTAAATATGTTAAATGTTTTCACACTTTGTTACATACTGCCAGCTGTTAAAAAGGGTATGATAAAAGTGTGTGTGGGGTGAGTGTGTAGATCAATGAAGAATGAATTTGGACTGAAAATGTTCTGCTTGTAAATGGTTGTCTACAAATTAAATACAAGAAATAGTTCATTACAGGTAGAATGATATTAAAGCCAACTGCACTTATCGAAAATAGGGGTACTTCAGGTTCTAGTGGTTCAGCATGTCATATTGGTGACTCAAAATGGGCGTACTTGGTTCTAGGGTTCGCAGCAGTATTGATTGTGGTCCATTTATAGGTACCATAGAGTGCAGGACACTCTTATGTGTACACGAGATGTTCGCTCACGAAGGAAGAGGGTCCCCAATGAAAATAGCACAACATCAAAGTCAAATAATTTATATAACAAAATGACAAACGATATTTGCATGATTTTGAATTTAGTGAAAGTTAGTGAAAGGTCTTTATTTGGACATTTTGTTTAAACTCAGATGCAAAAGTTACATACTGAGATGTTTTTTTAGTGCAAGTTAATTTATCTCTGTTTTGGTATTTGCATGCCTTTGACAATTGCTGTCTTAAGGAAATAGTACAATAATGTGCTGGAGTCAAGTTTGGCCAGGTGTCAACAAATGTTATAATGTAGGTACAGATTACAAGGCAGCTTTATTTCCATAAATGAATCAGTTATAAATGATACACATCAATTTTGTATATAGATGGCGTGTTCAGTAGTATTAACTTTTCCACTGTGCGCTGTTTGAGATGAACTCAAGAAATTAGAAATTACCTATCACTACTTATTGTTGTATAGGGGTATTTAGCAGATTATCATGGAAATTCATTAACATCATTGCAGACATTTTGATTTCTATTGAAAATATTACACAATTAAATAAATTAAATAAGCTTTGGTTTCAGATAAGTACTTTTATAAAACTATCTCTGATCAACTAATTATTTATAAACTTTTTCATTCTAGTGGTCTTCTTTGCAGTTGACATTTTAAGTCATGTCAGGACCTAAAATTTGCCTAAAATTCTGGACCAAAATTCAGGAGCTTTATTGAATTTGTGAATTGCTTGAACTGTACGTAGAAGAGTGAGAATTTAAATTATTTCCAGGGGCAAAGTTTTTGTTGTTCATTTTGAATTAATGTTGAAAAGTATCTTCTTATGACAAGAATTATCGGATGATGTGACTATGTGAACTAAGGCCTGGATATAGGGAAGTTTGATTTAATTTGTTCATAACATCCTTATCAAAAGAAATTAAAAATTCACATCACAAATTTTAAGAGGAGTATGGCAATTTTGTTAATGTAAAAGCAAAAAAAAAGTATTTTAAGGTAAATTTATCCATGCGTGGGTACCTGCAAAGGGACATATAGTTCAATTAATTTTGACAGTCTAATGACAACTCCTGACTGATATAAAAAAGACAGTTAGAATTACTTCAGGACTTCAGGACATGCTCAAGAGTTCTAACATCACACACATAAGGTGACGGGAGATTTTGGTTGGGTGTTTGACTCTGTCTTAGATATCAGTAAGGTTGCCCTGGTGACAGAAAGGAAATATATGAATCCACGCCCATGATTCAAAGATGTTGTCAGTGATCTGAGCCATCGCAGCGGAACAGATAACAAGAACATAACTAGTATAAGTTTTCTGTCAAAACCTTTTCAATAAGGTTATCGGGACCAGGAAATCTAGTGAATCCATTCATTTCCATGTTGACACGCAAATAATAAAGCGAGTCGTCTTTTCTTAATGGGAAAAATATATCAGGGCCATCAAAAATGCAATGCTTTCATAGAATGGAAAAATGTCCCATGTTTTCCATTCAGAATTTCTGATGTACAGTCATTTTAAATGTATGTGATATGAAAACCTCATTACAGTGTCTTCAAATAAGAATTGTGACAGTTATTATAGCTAAATTTATTCAAAGGCCATTGGAAAGAAAATTGAAATAACACAAACCCCAATATAAAAGGGAAAGATATCTTTGTGTCTCTTTAAATTTTTTTTGTGTTTTGCTGTCAATGATTTTTCTTTGTGGTTAAGTCTCAACTCTATTAGCTGAAATAATTTTTTTCCTTAAGATATTCTGTGAAAAACTTGAATTTCTTAAAACCATTGAAACGCCACCAGGCTACAAATACACTGTTGTTTATCAAAACACAACATAAACTACAGAGAGGATCCGTTTTTCAAGACCATAATAGCTTAAAACCTATTGTAAACACTCAAAGGTCACAGCGTTTGTCGGTAATTCACTTTCTCATGATATGATGTAACAAATTCACAACAGGCTGATCACTGACATTTATAAATCCAATTTGTGCTCGAGGGAATATTTGGTTCTGCGCAGAGATTTTTTTTCGTCATTAAGTTAAATGTTAAACTTAAAAAAAAAAATAAAAAAGATGAAAAAGTATTTAGAATTAAATTTCATCCACTGATGTTGAACAAATGCAGATTTCTTTTTGAATCAAGATGATCGGTAGCATATATTCCCAGGATAACACTCATAGATATATCATAACTATATAAGTTGTGCTGTACAGAATACAGATTACCAGTTGATTGGTCAATCTTCATACAGATCTTGTGTTTTACATCTATATATCAAACAATAACCATATGTTTTGTAATAAGCCAACCCACATCTATCGTCTATTACAGTGTATTGTGACGTGCTATTATTGTTGCCCTGTAATATCATTAGTCGACCTAAGGTGGTGTATTGGGCTCGCAGTGATGTTTATATTTGACATGGGTACTATTACTACTGGTAATTTAGATCTGAAACCATGGTAGCGTATTGGTTAGGCAGTTGTAGAATTTCTAATTGGCAGGGTGCTGTAGATTGTAAGTTCAAAGCCCAGACAGTGCAGGAGTGAAAACTGTGTTTCTTCCTCACTTGTGTTACATTTTCAAATATGCAAAAATAAATGATAAAGTAAATAATTTTGAAAAACCACGATGTCTAAGGACAGTAGGTTTTGTCTGGTGACATGTATATTCCTAACGTGTCTTAGGACAGGAAGCTTTGTATATTAATATGTATATTCCTAACGTGTCTTAGGACAGGAAGCTTTGTATATTAATATGTATATTCCTAACGTGTCTTAGGACAGGAAGCTTTGTATATTAATATGTATATTCCTAACGTGTCTTAGGACAGGAAGCTTTGTATATTAATATGTATATTCCTAACGTGTCTTAGGACAGGAAGCTTTGTATATTAATATGTATATTCCTAACGTGTCTTAGGACAGGAAGCTTTGTATATTGATATGTATATTCCTAACGTGTCTTAGGACAGTAAGTTTTGTATATTGTATTTTTGTGTTTTATAGCAAGAAGCGAAAATGACCTTGAGTCTATTACTCAGTATATTTTTCACCGTATTTGGCAACAGCTTTTTATATGGTTACAACATAGGAGATGTCAACAACCCGGCACCTGTAAGTATATCCTCTTCCTCATCACATCATATTTATATAATTATCTTATTTATCATGGTAGCAGTCAAAAACTACCAGATTAACAGCAACATGTACCCAGTGAAATCTCTTGAAATTAATACAAACTTGATCTGTAATTTAAGGGTTGTGGGCCCTGAATTTCATAAACTGCACATTGTCTTAATATGACCAATGAATTTCGATATCCTAGTTCAAATGCAGGCAAAGTAATGCTCTGGACACAAAATCTTAACAAAGGACAATAACTCTGTAATTACAGGATTGTGGGCCTTCACATAGGTACAATGCACATTGTCTTTATATAATCAATTTATACACCAAGTTTCATTAATCTACTTTAAATGCATGTAAAGTTATGCTCTGGACAAGTTATTTTTAACAAAGGGCAATAACTTTGTAATTGAAGGGTTGAGGGCCTTGAATATGGTATGCAGCACATTGTCTTAAAATGATAATTGTATACAAAGACAAGATATTGAACATATTGATTGCTTTATTTTTTAGGTTATACGAGAGTTCTATGCTAGGGTACTTTTAGAAAGAAAAGAAATCTTTCCTCTTGCTGAACTCTCGCCCAATCAATCTGCAGTATTTTTTGCCGACCTTGCCAAAGGAGCAGATTATGATGCTAACAGCTCTTCAGCCAGCGCCATGACATCCTTATCCAATATGTCTCTGGAGCAGATTGAGGTCCAGATCGTCAAAAAAATGGTTGATAATGAACCGGTGATAGAGATCCTCTGGTCTATCACAGTTGCTATATTTGTTCTGTTCGGTATGATTGGAGCTTTCGTATCTGGAAGCATGGCAGATCATTTTGGAAGGTAAGACTTTATGTAAAGGAATTTTATTCATTTTTTTCAGTCTAGAAATAAAGATTAAGATAAAAGTTTTTTTCTAAAAAATAGGTTTTATTTCTTTTGTGGTTTTAATATCAATTTAAATTGATTTTCAAGTGGTTTTGTGCAGGTTAAGGCAATTATGGAGATTTGCATATATCAGTATACTTAGTTCTTAATAAAAGCCTACCTCTGATCGCCCTGTTCTTTGCCAACTGTATACATCATAAGATTGTTTAAATGACAAACTAGTGAATAATACCTAAGTTATGAAAAAGATCAGGAGAATCAAATCTGGTTGAAGGAAATGTCACATCCGAATTCTTTGTAACTGTTTTGTCGTGTTACAGGAAGAAGAGCATGTTAATGATTACTGTGTTGATGTTCCTGGCCGCGTTGTTCGGAGGAATCCCAATCGTGACTGGGTCGTTTGAGATGTTGATTGTACACAGGGCCCTGGTGGGCCTCCATTGTGGTAAGGAAGATCAAAGATATACTTAATATATTACAAATATGATGTTATTTCTTATTTACTGGATTAATACACTAAATAATTGTAAAATGTTATTAATTTTTTACTGTAAGTACTTTTGATAGTTTCTAGTTAATCCTTCACATATCTGTACCTCAAAAATAAAAGAAATTATTTCATTGGTCTAACACTGTAAACTGTATGTACTATCTACTATATACTTCATTGTAGTCATGGTAACCAAAAGCACAATTGTATATTTTTATGTTCATAAAAAGGAAATTTTCAATTTTTACTGGATTTTTGTTCCTAAGAAATACTTCCACCCAGGAAAGTGTCAGTTCCATGTAAATTAGGTGTTGGCTCTTTATCACATGAACTTCATCAACAAAATTAAACTAATGCCAAGTATTCTGAATATTTCAAAGGTATTAACATCAGTTTGGCGTCCATGTACCTTGCCGAGATCTCGCCGCGGAGTATCCGTGGAGCGGTCGGCACCTGTCATCAGCTCTTCATCACCATCGGTATCTTGTGGAGTAACATCATGGGAGTGTCCAAGCTCTGTGGTACGTTGCTTTATTTTCTCTTTATTCTAGAATAATGAACATTAAAATTATGTGAGATTGACAAGTAAATTATTAGCCAGGTGAGGTAAAAAAAAAATACCTGGTGTTGATTTTCATGGTTTGACAAATATGCACTTCCGTTTGCAGAACTATTAACTTTTAAGTTGGAATTAATCATTGATTAATTATCCAGGTACTGTTGACCTATGGCCATGGGTGTTTATCTTCAATGCCATTCCCGCTGCTGTCTGTCTGATTGGGCTGCCTTTCTGTCCGGAGAGTCCCCGTTACATGTTGATCAAGCAGGGCAAAGAGGAGGAAGCCAGAGATGGTGAGATTGCTATTTTTTTTTTTTTTAAAGTTTTGACATATTTTGACATCTGGTAAAAATATTGGTTGACGATTGAATAATTTCTTTCTGTCTGTATTATTGTCATAAACTTTGCTTCATTCTTGACATGATCTGTTTTCTTCACAATAATTTGAAAAGCTATCTATAAAAGAGAGAATTTTTTCTGTGAATTTGTTTTGATTTAAAAATCTTGTATAAGAACGGTTTAGATAAGATAGTGTGTTGGTCAAATCGCTCTTTGTCCATGATCTGTGTTCTGTCATCAAGCCATATACATTAGCTGTTATCCCTACATCTTTAGAAATTGTGGTATGGATCATTCTCAAGTCATGAGAGTAGGTTGCCATTGGGCCCTAGTGTTGCATCGGTCATTTGGGACAGATTCGAGAAACAATATGATTGACAGGCAGCCATCTTTCTTGAAGTACTCCATTTGTCTATTGCTGTTGTGATATGATAAACTCACCTTTCAATATAATGTATAATTAAAAGCAAATAGTGTAGAAGGGAACAGAATAGGACAAAAGATCTGCATCATTGAGAGAACTAATAAAGGTAATACAATCTTGGGTGTCTAGATCCATCTTGGATCTCCGGGACATCGCATTGGTGTTATGTTTCATGCTATTTCCCTACCAAGGTCTGTCTTGGATCATGGGGACAGGGTGTAGGTGTAACCCTGTTGCATTCTGTTTCCTACCTATAATGTCCTGTATTTGTGACAGGATCAAAGCTGACACCAGGTCTTCATTGAGAATGTTGAGGATAAGTTTGTGTCATTAGATTCTAAAATTAAAGGTCATTGTTTCTACTTATAGAAACTCTCATAGAAATACTTCAGAATTTTTATTAGTGTGATAGAGATGATATTCATGGCAGACACATGTTTAATTTAATTACTATTTCTGTTTCCCAGCCCTCAAGAGGTTACGAGGTTACTCCGATGTTGAGGAGGAGATTGACGAGATGAAGGTGGAGGCACGTAAGAGCCAGAGTGTGGAGAGCTTCTCCATCAAAAAACTTCTGACCACTCCAGACCTCAGAATTCCTGTCATCATGGCCTGCGTACTCCAGGTCTCTCAACAGTGGTCTGGTATCAATGCTGTGAGTAATGATGGCCATACCTGTCTATAAAGGTCATTCAAAGGACAATAATGGCTTCTTTTAGGCAGGTTTCCTTTATATAGAAGTTTTTTTCTATAAATTGTATTCTATTGAGAACTAGAAGATGTGGGTGTTATAGACAGGTAATTGTCACACAAGAGTTAACCTTATATTGGGAACTAGAAGATGTGGCTGTTATAGACAGGAAATTTTCACACGAGAGTTAACCTTATATTGGGAACTAGAAGATGTGGCTATTATAGACAGATAATTGTCACACGAGAGTTAACCTTATATTGGGAACTAGAATGTGTGGCTGTTAAAGAAAGGTAATTGTCACACAAGAGTTAACCTTATATTGGGAACTAGAAGGTGTGGCTGTTATAGACAGATAATTGTCACTTAAGAGTAAACCTTATATTGGGAACTAGAAGGTGTGGCTGTTATAGACAGATAATTGTCACTTAAGAGTAAACCTTATATTGGGAACTAGAAGGTGTGGCTGTTATAGACAGATAATTGTCACTTAAGAGTAAACCTTATATTGGGAACTAGAAGGTGTGGCTGTTATAGACAGATAATTGTCACTTAAGAGTAAACCTTATATTGGGAACTAGAAGGTGTGACTGTTATAGACAGGTAATTGTCACATTCCATTGAGAAATATGATTGTCTCCATTGACAGGTAATGTCCTTCTCAAGCTTCATGTACAAGAATGCTGGAGTGCCAGAAAACGTTGTTGAATGGGTTGTGTGTGGGACATCTACAATCAACGTTCTTACCACAATTGTTGCCGTACCGTTGATGGAAAAACTGGGACGACGCCCTCTCATGATCTATCCCATGATTGGAATGGCTTTGTCCTTCATTGTCCTTACCATCTTCCACAACCTCCAGAATGACATGTCTCTTGCTGTAAGTATAAGTCACAAACACTTCTTATTGTGTCGCCTGCAGAGCTGGCAGACAATTAGGGATCACTTTGTCCGTTGTCATGCGTTTGCGGCATCTGTACGAAAGTTTTCCGTACTTTTTTGGGTTATCCTTTGAGTTATTGAAATGAAATTTGGTATATGGCTTGTTATTGTGAGGGTACAGATTAGTTTTGATTCTTGACAGTATGTGACCCTTCTTTGCAGAGTTATTATGCCTCTTCGAGAATTCTTTGAGAATATGGTTTTTTGTACTTTTCTTGATTATGCTTAGAGTTTTTGAAATGAAATATGAGAAATGGCTTCATGGTCGAACATTGCAGATAAGGTTCGATTCAAGGCTTTCTTGACAGTTATGCCCCATTGAACTTGGAAAATTTTCTTGGTTATGCTTCGAGTTATCAAAATGCATTTTTGTATATGAATTCTTGGTCAAAAGTTACGCTTCTTGTAACCCTTCTTGGCAGTGATATGTCCCTTTGAATTTGGAAAATTTCTCAGGAATATTGCTTTGCACAGTTTTCCCTTTAAGCTACGAGTTATAGAAATGTAATTTGGTTTTACAACTTTATGGTTGAACATTGCACATCCAGTTCAATTTCTGGTTGACTGTGACACTTTATGCAGGCGACACATACAGTTCTGAGGAACTCTTGTGGGTGTAGTAACCATGGTTACAAGTTTATGTAGTAAATTCATCTGAGTTTTCACCCCCCCCGATGCTTATCTGAAAACCACTAAAATGCAATTATATTGTAAATCTGTAAATTGTAGATCTGTCTTGGATCTTAGGGACAAGGGGTAAGTGTTATCCCTATCTAAATATGTCTTAGGTCTCCTGGACAGGGGTTGGTGTTATCCCTATCTAAAAATATATATATATATATATACCGATATATATATGTTAACAAAGGCACAAGTTCATCAATCACTAATTTGTTGAAAATTAACGATGTGCTCAGATAGTAATAAAATTTAGTATCTTCAAAGTACAAAGATAGATTTTTAAAAAGTGACGTGTTAAAATGATGAGCATTTCAAAGGTCATTATTGATGTATTATCGTCCAGTAAATATCCAGTAAGCTGGCTGTGAGTGTTAGACATCAGTAGTTCTTCATGATCATATGGTTGCTTTGATCACTTAAAAGTCACTGGTCACAATATCATCACTTTAAGGATGTATTCCTCTGAGAAATAAAAAAGTATTTAACTTTTCTGGTGATGGTTTTTACGCTCCCCCAAGGGAGAGCATATGGTCTTCACTTCATCATTCCATTCATTTGCTTGTCATAATTTTGTGCGGTCAGATACATGAAGATCATTTAAACAATTCTCAATAACCATGATGCCCGCCCGGAGACATGATTTTGGGCTGTTAAGATGTAGGCCTACCACGTTTGCTGAAATGAATAACCGTAATTTCCATTCAGTGTCATAGAGGTCAAATATGGCAAAATCGTAAAACAACTTCCATTTAATATCAGACATTTTCTGATATTTTCATGACCACCTATTTAAAAAAAAAATGTTCGTCTTTTAATTCAAGGTAAGGTTATGATACCTGGATATCAAAAACAAAAGATGTGAAAATGCTAGAATTTGACCATCTTCTAGTATCAAACTTCCAAAGACTTTGTGTCTGGATAGAAAAACTGCCAATGATTGAAAAAGAGGGGGTCTCCGTGCTTTATTTTATGCATTTCCGCCCACATAGCCAATTTTTCGGAGATCAAGAAACAAGCTGAAATCTTGGTGTTCTAGTCCTAAAAATCTCGGAAAGTGGTCTGCCATGTTGGAATATGAAATCATTCTTTTGTAGTGATACTCCATGCAAACTTTTTTGGAAATCATCTACCAAAGACTTACATAATAGAATTACCTTAGCAACCAGAAAATGTAAAAATTGACACTATTAACCGTGTCACATGGTCAACTATGCTGTGGAAAAAAGTAGTCCGCAAGTGAAATTTCTTCAGTAACTCATAAGAATCACCCTTTTTGAATCAAAAAGTACAACTATCAATAAAAATATATACGAAAATAGCAGTCCAAGATATTATTATGTTGGAATTAATTTTATATTGAATTATGTCTTACTTCCAGCCAACCGTCAAAGGAATACAACCATCATCTTGTCATAACATAATCTTAGATCAGCATTCATAAATACTTAATCTTTTTCTCAAAACATTAATTTTGCACTATAGCAACTTTTCTTCTTATACAATTATATAAATCATGTACAGCTTAAATGTCACTAGTGCTTGGCTATACTAATTGATACAAACTACATGTCAGGACCCTGTGGAACAGAAATTTTATTCAACAGGTTTTTTAATCTTCAAAAAAATGGATTAATTAAAATAAAAATAAAGATCTGCTTATTTGTGGTGGGATAAGTTTATTTTGTAAAAAAAAACTAAGATATTGATGAATTTTCTCTTCAAAAGAACAAACATGAAATTTCATCGTGTTGGAAAATTAATGGAACAGGATCCATTACTTTGATATGGTTTAAGTATGACCCTATGATCTGTACTATTGTTCAGTGAGTAACTTCTGTGTTTTAGGATAACCATAAAGCATTTGCCTATGTCGGGATTGCTGCCATGCACACCTATGTCATTGGATTTGCTCTCGGATTGGGTAAGTGTGATTATAAGCTGTTTTCCCTGGGTTTGGGTAAGTGTAATTATAAGCTGTTTTCCCTGGGTTTGGGTAAGTGTAATTATCAGCTGTTTTCCCTGGGTTTGGGTAAGTGTAATTATCAGCTGTTTTCCCTGGGTTTGGGTAAGTGTAATTATCAGCTGTTTTCCCTGGGTTTGGTAAGTGTAATTATCAGCTGTTTTCCCTGGGTTTGGGTAAGTGTAATTATCAGCTGTTTTCCCTGGGTTTGGGTAAGTGTAATTATAAGCTGTTTTCCCTGGGTTTGGTAAGTGTAATTATCAGCTGTTTTCCCCGGGTTTGGTAAGTTTGAGTATAAGCTGTTTTCTCTGGGTTTGGGTAAGTGTAATTATCAGCTGTTTTCTCTGGGTTTGGGTAAGTGTAATTATCAGCTGTTTTCCCTGGGTTTGGGTAAGTGTAATTATAAGCTGTTTTCCCTGGGTTTGGGTAAGTGTAATTATAAGCTGTTTTCCCTGGGTTTGGGTAAGTGTAATTATCAGCTGTTTTCCCTGGGTTTGGTAAGTGTAATTATCAGCTGTTTTCCCTGGGTTTGGGTAAGTGTAATTATCAGCTGGTTTCCCTGGGTTTGGGTAAGTGTAATTATCAGCTGGTTTCCCTGGGTTTGGGTAAGTGTAATTATCAGCTGTTTTCTCTGGGTTTGGGTAAGTGTAATTATCAGCTGTTTTCCCTGGGTTTGGGTAAGTGTAATTATAAGCTGTTTTCCCTGGGTTTGGGTAAGTGTAATTATCAGCTGTTTTCCCTGGGTTTGGGTAAGTGTGATTATAAGCTGTTTTCCCTTGGTTTGGGTCAGTAAATATTTGTCATTTGTTTAAATAAGCTTTAATATCTTGACTTTTGACCTCAGTAACACAGTGTGGATGTTTCTTGTGTAGATGATTTGAGTATTTGACAGAATATAAATAAATCTTTCTTTATTTCTCCTACATTATATCCAGTCAGCCTGTATATATATATATATATTATATATGTCCACAGAATTTAGATTCTGCAATGAGAATGAAATTAGGCTGTGAGGAATGGTTTCTAACACAATATTATCCATTAAAAATTGTAAAACCTGTTGAAGATTTGCTGTAATATTTCTTTAATGTTTCGTTAACAGGTCCCATCCCATTTATCATTGTGAGTGAAATCTTCAGACAGGAGCCTCGTGCGGCCGCCATGAGTATCTCCCTGGCTTTTAACTGGGTGTGCAACTTCACGCTTATGTTGGTATTCAGATTCATGCAGGTAAGACATCAATAAGTATTCTGTTTACTTTTACCTGACTTGTTTATTGGTAAAGTGGTATGACTGGTCTTAAGGGTAAGTGAACTCATATTTAATAGAAGTAAGTTCGTAGTTGGGGTATCACAGGATTAAAATGCTACACAATAAGTGTCTCACTCCATGACAGTAAAAAAAATAAGCATAATCTTGTCCAATGTTTATTTTTGCAATTTCACTTCCAATGTGCATAATTGCCAGCTTTAATTCTTTGGTGGGATAGATGTTTTACTGGAATAGACCTAAACAAAACCTGGAGTCCTGGTGTGGGATAGATGTTTTACTGGAGTAGACCTAAACAAAACCTGGAGTCCTGGTGTGGGATAGATGTTTTACTGGAATAGTCCTAAACAAAACCTGGAGTCCTGGTGTGGGATAGATGTTTTACTGGAATAGTCCTAAACAAAACCTGGAGTCCTGATGTGGGATAGATGTTTTACTGGAGTAGACCTAAACAAAACCTGGAGTCCTGGTGTGGGATAGATGTTTTACTGGAATAGTCCTAAACAAAACCTGGAGTCCTGGGGTGGGATAAATGTTTTACTGGAATAGTCCTAAACAAAACCTGGAGTCCTGATGTGGGATAGATGTTTTACTGGAGTAGACCTAAACAAAACCTGGAGTCCTGGTGTGGGATAAATGTTTTACTGGAATAGTCCTAAACAAAACCTGGAGTCCTGGTGTGGGATAAATGTTTTACTGGAATAGTCCTAAACAAAACCTGGAGTCCTGGTGTGGGATAGATGTTTTACTGGAATAGTCCTAAACAAAACCTGGAGTCCTGGTGTGGGATAGATGTTTTACCGCAGTAGACCTAAACAAAACCTGGAGTCCTGATGTGGGATAAATGTTTTACTGGAATAGTCCTAAACAAAACCTGGAGTCCTGATGTGGGATAAATGTTTTACTGGAATAGTCCTAAACAAAACCTGGAGTCCTGGTGTGGGATAAATGTTTTACTGGAATAGTCCTAAACAAAACCTGGAGTCCTGGGGTGGGATAAATGTTTTACTGGAATAGTCCTAAACAAAACCTGGAGTCCTGGTGTGGGATAAATGTTTTACTGGAATAGTCCTAAACAAAACCTGGAGTCCTGGTGTGGGATAGATGTTTTACTGGAATAGTCCTAAACAAAACCTGGAGTCCTGGTGTGGGATAGATGTTTTACTGGAATAGTCCTAAACAAAACCTGGAGTCCTGGTGTGGGATAAATGTTTTACTGGAATAGTCCTAAACAAAACCTGGAGTCCTGGTGTGGGATAAATGTTTTACTGGAATAGTCCTAAACAAAACCTGGAGTCCTGGTGTGGGATAAATGTTTTACTGGAATAGACCTAAACAAAACCTGGAGTCCTGGTGTGGGATAGATGTTTTACTGGAGTAGACCTAAACAAAACCTGGAGTCCTGGTGTGGGATAGATGTTTTACTGGAATAGTCCTAAACAAAACCTGGAGTCCTGGGGTGGGATAGATGTTTTACTGGAATAGTCCTAAACAAAACCTGGAGTCCTGGTGTGGGATAAATGTTTTACTGGAATAGTCCTAAACAAAACCTGGAGTCCTGGTGTGGGATAAATGTTTTACTGGAATAGTCCTAAACAAAACCTGGAGTCCTGGGGTGGGATAAATGTTTTACTGGAATAGTCCTAAACAAAACCTGGAGTCCTGGGGTGGGATAGATGTTTTACTGGAATAGTCCTAAACAAAACCTGGAGTCCTGGTGTGGGATAGATGTTTTACTGGTATAATCCTAAGTTCAATTCAAATTTAGAATCGAGGCTCTTAGATATATCATCATTACATGAAACTGTGTTACAATCATATTATTTATGTATCGTTTTACAGGATGCCATGCAAGGATATGTCTACCTTCCTTTCATTGTAATCCTTGCCCTTGCCGTTGTATTCATCACCATAATGGTCCCGGAAACAAAGAACAGGACATTCGACGAGATTGCAGCTCAGATTGGTATAGGACGTGGTAAAAAGGGGTTGACATATGACCAAGAGGAAGGCCAGGAACTGAACAGCATGAAAACATAATGATCGCAATTAGAGTATTATCAGAACATTTACAAATGATGTCCGAGATGTATGGCCTGTATTTGTTAATCCAATTTAGCTTTAATCTGTATTTTAGTGGTTATAAGAATATACATTTAGTAATATTTATTAATTCTTTTCTTTTTTAAAAAAAAAAAACAAGAAAAACAAACATGTCGAGATAATCACAATCCAAACTCAAAATCAATAAAACTTCGGTAAAATATTAACAAATTAAATATTTTTTGGTTACTAATGGCTTCATACATACTATTTGACATGAAAATATTACTGTTGGTTTAATTATTGAAAATCTATGACAATTTGTTTTTAAAATTAGAAGATACACTATTTCTACATCTGTGAAGAAGATTAATTTTGTTCTGTTGAAATTTTAAGCACTGTTGTTATTGTTGCCACTACTTTCACCGTAATGTTGAATGGCAAATTTTTAACAGGCAAATTTCTGTTGAGAAAGGGTTCTGTTTTACTGTATAATCAATCATTTTCATGAGGAACTTATTTTCATTGATTAGGTGGGTACTCCTTATTCATAAATTTATAAGGCCACTAAATGGTAAGATAAATATAAGTAGGTTTATTGAGCTGTTTATCCATGAAATCAAATGTCCATGTAAAAATATAATAAATATATCTAAAATAAAATGCAAAAAAAAAAAAAAAAAAAAAAAAAATTTCCCCTACAAAATTCAATGTGAAAAAGTTCTTTGATACCATCAGTCTTGTCATTTGTAATAAGTATAAAATTTAAAAATTAACATGAGGTATGTAGAATATTTTGAATCTCACAGAAGATACTGGTACAATGTAATGACAATGTAATTGTAATTACCGGGTATTTGTTGTATAAAAAAAAACTTGAAGTGAAATCAAAAGAAAATGAAGAAGAGTTCAGTTATTATTCTTTGTTGGGTTACACAGAACAAATATGTATGATAGAGAACCACATCTTAAATTAAAAATGAAGAACTTGTAAAGATCAAATGTTTAATTTTTCTGATCAGTCGCTATGTAATGTCTTGTAATGAGTCATGATATTCATGCACATTTCATTATTGAATTCAAATCTGTAGTTTTCTGTAATATTGTCAAGTCCTGACCCTTGACTGTCATTGTATTTAAATGTAAGTTGTGGTGTAGTGGTAAAGTAGCATTATTGATGCATGTTCTGTTAAGTGTTTCATTTCAAACAAGCATCTGTATCTTCCACATTAATATTTTGTGGGTTGTTAAATCGAATATGAATTTCATTCAGAGCTATTTTGACGATGGAGATATATTTTCATGAACCAAATTAGTTATTTATTTCTCGAACCTGCTATGTAAAATATATATTTTTTTTATTTCTTTCCATCATTTAAATTTTTGAGACACATGTCCCCTCACCCTTACTAACTAGTTGAACAATCCCCGCTGTTAAAGGCACATGATACCATGTTAGGAGGGTTGATCGCTTTGTGAACAGGCATGTTGATTGTTGATTTTGTAGTAGCTGGTGACTCACTCACAGAACAACATACAAGAGGCTAACCACATGCCATGAAGAGCAGTTAGGGTAAAGTGTCTTGATTAAGGACGCAACTAGGACTGCCCAGTTGGCCTCTCTCTCGGCTTGCTTTGAAACTCTAACCACTATAGGCAGGGAGTGTCAAACCACACAATGTGCATCTTTACACTAGGTAACCCGATAATTCTGATGATAAATGATGGGGCGGTACAGAATCTTAGATATTTTCATGGAAAATAACTTAATTAATCTATGGCTATGTAATGTGCGCATCTTCCAATTTGGACATTCATCTACCCGAAAAAAATATTAAAGCTATGCACATTACAGGGTTTTTATGGTAAATGAAACAACTCTATTTGAGTTATTGCAGCTCCCCCAGGTTTTTTTATGGAGAGATTACATATAAAGCAAATTACAAGTTGCCAAGATACAGTCATTGCAAAAATACAAAAAACAATAAAAAGAAAGAAAACAGATAACTATTGAAAAATGTAACAAAAAATTAAAGTAATCCTGTGAGAAATGGAACATAATTTATTTGCCATGAAAATTTTTAAAACTAAAAAAAAAAAAATCTAGTTCACCAATGAAAATTTGTAAAATGAAACCATCAACATTGCAAGTATTACTAAAAATACAACTTCAAGCAGAATTACGATATATTATAGATGATACAAATTTTTGTGTGACAGAAAAATGATTCTCATACTTTTTCCATGTCACAACCATTCAAAGGTTAACATCTGATTATATAAAAAAACATAAAAAAAAAAATGAGAAAAGAAAGTATTAAAATTTTTTATTAAAACCAAGCTCAGGAAGATTTTACATATAATTTGATTGTATGTACATGGTATGAACATATATCTTAAAGGTCTATTCATAAATTTATTTTTGATAAAAAATTTACTCTAAAGTATCTATGATTTAATGTATTTTTATTTTTTTATGTATATATATTGGAAATTATAGATATATCTTAATCTCTTATTGTAACATTTTTATTTTTTTTAATTTTAAATTTGCGTATCAGTATTTATCGATGCATTCTTTTTATTTAACTAAAAACATCTATTGAATGTGTTTTCCTGACCTTTATGTATATCTATCAAAAAAGAAAATTTTGTGACAGATTTATTTTAATTGTTTTTCTTTAACTTTCCCTTAATTGGAAATGTACTTAGTTTTGTCTGAGAACGGGTTGAAAGCTTCCAGAATTAGTCTATTTTTAGCCTCCTCATTTCAAAACAGTACTCTGGCTTTCTTTCACTCTCTTAAGTCTGCGATGACAGAATCAGAAACATGTAACAGAAATGAAATAGTGAATACATTTCTAAATTAATTTTGAGATTCACATCTTAAGATTTCTAAGATATTTACAAAACTGTGTACATATACATCTTTCTCCTTTCCAAGATATTCCTGAATTTTTTTTTTTTTCAAATCAATAACCGGATCTAGCATTGACATAATTTAAATGCTAAAATGTGTTTTTACTACTACTTGCAACTCTGTTGACACAAATATTTTTTCTCTAAAACATTAACAGTTAAAAATAAATAATGAAATATAAACGGTTGTAAGTAGATGTACTCAGGTACATATGGACATCTTCTTGGCATGATGTAGTTACCTCCCGTCCTCCTGAGTTTAAACAGTCTAAGATACTTATATAAGTGAATATCTTTTTCAGTTTTCACAATCATTATCATGATATTTCGTTATAAAACTGTATTTCCTCTTTAAAAGGAAATCCTTCACACCAGAGATAGCAGCTGGACTGTAATCAAAATGGCTTAGATTGCGTGAATACATTATTTTGCAAACTTACCTCACCCGCGCGCTGGTCTAGAAAAATGACAAATTTGCAATTGATGAGATTTTTAAGACCATGACTCTGCAAAACTCTGATTGGGTAACAGAACCAACATGGATATATTACAGAGTTTTGTACAAATAATCTACGAATTCAAATCATGATTAACTCTCCTCACGTATTCACACAAATATAAATCCCACACGGTATGTAAATGATTCACAGTATTAATTTTTATTTCATTCGTTGATTTTTTTTAAATGTTATATACCAGATGTTTAAATTTCATATCAGACTACTAACTTCAAAATTTCTAATGAAAATAAAGTAATGTTGCCCATGAATTTTAGTCACAGAACTAAATAATTTTTATGAAATTACATTGTGGGTTGGCTTTATACTTACATTAGTAACATTTTTACATAGATTGGTTGTTTGACGTTGCAAGCCATGAAAAGTGCTTAAGGCTCAAGCTCAAGGCTTATAGTAAGCCTATATGATAAATTTCTTATGTAGTGCTGAAACAGAAATACTAAAGACCACTAAGTGTATATTTTATGTAATTTCTCTTTTATTTGTTCTTATTAGATATCATTCATGCATAAAAAATAAATATTTCTTCCAATTTCTCCAATAGACATGGAAATTGCTGGAAAAAGTGTTTGAATTTTCGGTTCTGAAAAGTACTGGAAAAAGTGTAAAAACAAGATTTGGCCCTAAATAGTGCTTAAAGAGTGTTAAAATTTTGTTACTGATTAGTGCTGGAAGAACTGTTTGAATTTCAGTTCTGAAAAGTGCTGGAAAAAGTATTTGAATTGTTTTCCTGAATAGTGCTAGAAAAAAAAATTGTCCTTGAAAGACTGTATGATCATATTTTGTAAAATTACAAAATTTGAACCGTACACTTTAATAACAACATACGTAAATGTGTATTGCATGATTAATTTGTTGTAGATTTAAGTCTCAGGTTACACATAAGTGGGCATATTTACGTATTTTTATTAAATTATTTCAAGATATTTTCAATAGAGGGTATAAATATTTAAAGATATTTTGTTGATTATAAAACAATTCAATGCAGTTATGATCAAATTAGTCATGTGTTGTGTGTGTTACATATGTATTACATATGTATTACATTTGTATGTGTGTGTGTATTACATATGTATTACATGTATGTGTATTACATTACATATGTATTATGTGTGTATATTTCATGTTACATATGTATTACATATGTATTACATTTGTATGTGTGTATATTTCATGTTACATATGTATTACATATGTATGGCATATGTATATGTGTATATTTCATGTTACATATGTATTACATATGTATGGCATATGTATATGTGTATATTTCATGTTACATATGTATTACATATGTATGGCATATGTATATGTGTATATTTCATGTTACATATGTATTACATATGTATGGCATATGTATATGTGTATATTTCATGTTACATATGTATTACATATGTATGGCATATGTATATGTGTATATTTCATGTTACATATGTATTACATATGTATGGCATATGTATATGTGTATATTTCATGTTACATATGTATTACATATGTATGGCATATGTATATGTGTATATTTCATGTTACATATGTATTACATATGTATGGCATATGTATATGTGTATATTTCATGTTACATATGTATTACATATGTATGGCATATGTATATGTGTATATTTCATGTTACATATGTATTACATATGTATGGCATATGTATATGTGTATATTTCATGTTACATATGTATTACATATGTGTATGTTACATATGTATTACATATGTATATGTGTATATTTCATGTTACATATGTATTACATATGTATGCATATGTATATGTGTATATTTCATGTTACATATGTATATGTATTACATATGTATGGCATATGTATATGTGTATATTTCATGTTACAT